GATCATCTAGCAGCTGAAAATGCCGAGGGTGCCGTTGATCGAGAGCTCTTGCTGTACCCTCAGGAAAGGACCGAATCACTTTACGTATGTCCTCAACGCTCGCAACTGGAAAAGACTCTCTATCAGGTATCCATGCCTGAGGGGGAATCGCTCCAGCTTTCCAGAGCGCCTTATACATACGAGCTTCATGCTGCACAACGCTATGGGGGTCAGCCGTGGGGCCTAAAGGATCATGGACGACCGTGGGGGGACACGCACACTCCGAACCTTGGTGATCCTATGTAGGCCCTTGGCTCCCCCTAATGACGCAGTTTCACACCAATCATTCCAATCTGCATCGGCTTCGCGATTAGCAGCTCTCTGGGCAGCTTCAACATCTCCTGTGATCTGCTCAAGAAACTCTAAAACAGCATCCTTATCAAGTTGCCCATCATGAAACAACTCACGTGCATGCTTACATGAGTTGTCTAGCCTAGCGCTGAGCCCAAAGCCTGGATAGTCGTCAGCAGCAAAGGCGGCAACCTCATTAGCATATAGGACCTGCTGCTCGACATCCTCGTCGTGAGACGACATCTGGAGAAGGGTCTGCACAGCATTGCGCAACCAAGACCACCCCTCAGCGAGCAGAACCTTCTCCGAGATGTTGGGGACTGGGTAGTCCACGCTAACCCACCTCGGTGCTATATCTCTACCGAAGCCTGCAAAGTTCATAGCATCTGTGCCCGTGCACTCAGCTACGTACCTGGCAGTTCTTTTGGCGAAATGGCCCCAGGCAGCACTTAAAACTCCAAAAACCACCCCAGGATCAGCCTGCTCATCATGAGCCAACTCCGAACAATGATCGACGAGACCCTCGACGAACGACCAACTAGGGGGAGCAGGCTGAGGTCCAATGGGGGCCGTGACTGGAAGCTTGGGTGCGGCGGTGTATACCAGATGCTGGATACCATGCCCGTCACTCGCAAGCTCCAAGATTACTGGTCGATGTGGACGCACTGTCCACTTCTTGCCAACGCTTACTGCCTTAAACGCTCGCATGCACGGATCATTGAGCCCGAAAAAATCGATGGCAGAAGATCCCGTCCCACCTCTACACGTGTAGTGCGATGGGGAGACGAGGGTAGCACTGGCAAGAGCACTGAAGCCGCAAGCTTCAACGGCACTAGGTGTCATGTTCCAATCCCCCCCGACTAAACAAGGCCCCTCCACCCCACTGAAACGCTTGCCAACTGCAGCTAAATACCTGGCATTCAGAGTGGTCGCGCCGATACTCGGCACTAGGTAGAGGTTGATGGCATGCAACGGCGGCCATCCTGGCAGGTCCAGTACCACATGTAGCACACGATGCTGAACCACCTGTTCACGGAGTCCAGGGGGAACACGAACTCCACATTGACTACGAACAAATATGGCGACTCCAGCTGTCGGTAGTACTCCAGCGGAGGGAAGTGCAGGCAGTGCCAACATCTGCCATCCTCGTCCACTGATCCACGTCTGCAGCGACTCGAGCTCGCTCTCCAGGTAGCCCGTCTCCTGTACCATGACAACCATAGCACAAGAACGCTGAAGTCGCTTTTTCAGTGTCCGTTTACCACCATTGGCATTGAATGACTCCAACATGTGAGACGGCGCCATCAGCATAGCGGGGGCTGCGGGAACCACACTCTTTGGTCGCAAACCAGTCACACGTGGTATCATCCTGCCCAGCTTCTTGTGACGGTCCATGCAAGGGTCTGCAGGGACCGACTCTGCCGAGGCATCATTGGGGCTAGGAGCTGCACTTTTGCCTCTTGACCTGCATCTCGGTAATCTTAGCCTGGAAGTCCTCAAAGCTGTCTGCACTCCAGAGCTCCTGCAAACTGTTGTCATCGAGCTCTGAGTAGTTGCGCTTGTCGGTGGCGGTGTCACCAGTGGGAGCTGCAGGCATCTCGGCGTCAGGGGGGCTCGCATCCGCAGCACCTCCAGAAGCGCTTGCAGCTGAAGCCCCAACACTGCCATCAGCAGGGCCAACCACACGAATATTCTTCTGGATTTCCTCCCACGCGGCGCTCTTGAAGAAGGCCTCGACGCCTTCGTACTTGGAGTACATCTGGTCGAGATTGTCGATCTCAATCTTGATGCCTGCTGAGGGTACCTTCGCCTCACCAGACTCGGCAGCCAACAGAGCAGATGTACGAGCAACTTCGTTAACCAACTCTGCCACTTCATCACGCTTGGTCTCGAGCTTCGTCTTACGCTCCTCGATCGATAGACGCAACTCTTCAAACTGCTTTTCTTTCTCTTCCAACTCTTTTGCTTGTCTGGCCACCGCTTGTCGTGCACGCTGCAACTCATTGGTGGCCCTCCTATGCGCCGTGGTTGGATTCCGCAGCTCTTTGATACTACCACGTAGTACTTCCAACTTTGCCTTGATACTGGAGCGCAACTCATCAAACTCATCACCTGAAGGGACCTTTTTGAGCGATTCATCCAACTCATTAGCCTGCACAACCAACCGACCTCTCTTCGCATCGTCGGACCCAGGGTCAGCCTGTTGCGCAGCTTCAGCAGCTTCACGATCACGAGTAACTTGATCTTTGTACCAAGGTGCTCGCTTAGATTTACCCTCAGGCTTGTCAGACTTATCAGGCAACTCTCCTCGTCCAAGCGCTTTGACCAACTCATCCAGTTGCGCCTGTACACGTAGGAGCCCGCCCGATTCATCTTTGCCTTGACCTTTTCCTTTACCACGCCCACCTCCACTTCCCGACTCGGGTTTGGCGGCGAGCTGCTTCTTGTGCGCCTCTTGGGCGCGACTGCGGATATGGGCGGGCGCCATGTTGCCACATCTGCAGCGAATACGGCTGGCCCAGTTGTGAGCAGCTCCGCACCGCCCACAAGCCCACTCAGGACGACGAGGACCCAGTAGGACGTCATCGTCATTGGCCATGGAGCGCTCCCGCGGGAGCAGAAGGGGGCTGCCAGCAGCTGCTGCCTGCTGGCGGGGCCTCCCGCGGGAGCTGAAGGCCAGCAGCGGGTGCCTGCTGGCAAGACTCGAACAACAAGGCCCGCGAACGCGGTGCCGCGCTGAGTTCTCGCGTTCGCAACCCCCTGAATCTCTCGAGGGGGCAGCACGGCTAAGGAGGGGGGCAGGGGGAGGGGTAAGCCCCTCCCCCGAGCAAGGGAAGGAGGGGTTTGGGCAGCATGTCGGGCAGAGAGAGGACGGAGTTTGTCAAACCACCTGCGCCCAGAGGGCTGGTGGGACTATTCGAATCGCTTGGGTTCGTTCAACAATCATCGGGTCTGTACGGGACCCGGCGCCCGAGGCGAGGTGGGCACTCCCGAGCAGGGACCCTTCTTCAGTGTCTTAGGGGGGCCCTGCGCCCGCCCTCGGGCGCCCGATGCTGGGTCCATCGCCCGCGGTCTGCCGCCGAACCCCTCCCCTCTGGCTGGCTGGCCCGATGGCCCGTGGACTAGTTGGCCCGACAGTCTGGCAGCCTCGTGCGACTGCAGGCCTCGGGCCGGATGTTCCGATCGTGCCAGCTTGCCTGACTGCCTGGAGGGTGGGGCTTCGGAGACGCAAGCGTGCCTTCCCGTGCTGGGAGTTGTGGTCCCGGGAGCGCGAATCTGAATCTGCCTGGGACTTCTGCGTCGGGGACGCGAGGGCGTTGCCCTTTACACTGGGCTGTGGCTTCGGGGGCGCAGACGAGCTGTAAGTTACAAGAGGTTGCTTCCACTGGAGCGCGAATGTTCTGCAATTCGGAATGGGTTGTTCCTTCGTTCACCAGCCTGGAACATATCCCTGTCCCTATGATTGGCATCGCCTCATCTCGATGCCGATCTCAGGGACTCCCTCCGTCTCTGAGGGCGCATCCCTGAGATTGTCGTCGACTTTTGGCTTGTGAATCTTAAGGATAGGGATACGTTCGAGGCTGGTTATTAGTGGGCGCGGAGTCCTCGTGACCTGCGCGGAGTTGTTCAAGGGGCCCAGAGACACGCACACACATAAATACACACACATAACAGGATCTCCCATCTCTTCCCATATTTTCTGGGTTTCTGTCTTCCCCCCACTTCCCACATTTCCCCATCTCTCCCAGGGGATCGACGACGAATTGTGTCTGTGTGCTTTTCCCCTTCCTGTCATCATCTGCGCCCGCCTAGCTCCTAACCGGCAGAGGCTCGCTCTCGACCCGCAGACCCAAAAAAGTGTTTTTGCCCCTTCCTCGCGCGGGTCGGCAATTCGGCTCGGGGTGCGTCCGGCCGCGGCCTCGCCCAACACTGATTGGGTGCCGTCCTTCCCTCTTGGGTGGCATCGCTGTCAAGCGTCCTCACCTCTTGCTCATCTCGCCAACTCCTCGTCCTCAAGACTCAAGTCCTCTCACCTCTCCACCATCTCCCCCTGCGTCGCCGCAGTGGAGACTTATGTCCCTTCCTGAGTTGTGGTTTGGGGGGGCGCCCGCCCGGTGCCATGCTTGGGGCCCGTGGCCCCAGGAGCGCGGGCGCGCTGCGGCTTGCAGAGGGGGGACGTGGCGTCGAGACCACACACCCTTCAGGAGGGGAAAAAACACAGACACCATTCATCGTCGATCCCCTGGGAAATGTTGGAAAATATAGGAAGTGGGGGGGGAGAGAAAAACCCAGAGAATATAGGAAAACATGGGGAATCCTTTTCATTGTGTGTATTCATTTTCTGTGTCCCAGTTCCCCTTCAACCTTCGCAGCAGTCCGCAGGGGAGCGCGGCCTCGGCAGCGCGAGGACCTCGCCACTTTCGCGGGGTCGCTGCCCCGGGGGGCGCGAGCCTGCTGAGTTGTTCTCGTTCCAGGGCACCCCAGAAAATCTGGGACCCCCGGCGGACGTCGTAATGGCGTGTTCTCCGGCCAGGGGGGGTGTCGCGCGTTCAGCAGCAGCTCGTAGATGGAACCAGAAGGCCAAATCTATAACAACATTAGAACTCGTCGCACTGGAACTGGCGCAGGGAGCAGGATACCTAGCCCACGCAGCCGCTGTGCCCCCAAAGGGGCTGGCGGATTATGCCCAACCGTATTTGAAAGTTTCTGAGGACGTGGAGTTGCTGGAGGCCTTCAACACCATCACAACGCCCAAGTTGCAAAAGATGTTCATGGTCAAGGAGTTCGGCTTTATTCAGCCCAAGCCTGGCATACCTGAGCAGAACATGACTTTTGTTGATGGTGTTCTAGATGTCGTCCTAGCCCATAAGAGCATCTGCGGTGTTCTCTTTTGGAGCTTGCGCCCACATGATAAGAAGGGTGGCTTCCAACAGCATGCTGAGTTCGGGGGACTCGTTCGGAGCCTGCATTGGCCAGGCTTCTCACGCGGTCCGCCAAATTATGAGATGGAAGTATTTGATGCATTTCAACGTGCAGGACTTAATATGAGTGGGCAGAACGTAACCAATGTGAGCCTGTGGGCAAGTGCGGGGAGAGCGCCGTGTGCGCCATCGATACTCAGCATCAAATCTGGTCCAGGCTGTTTCACACTTACATTCGCTGGAAGTGCTGGCGCAGCGCGGTATGAGATCTTGGCTCAATTGGCAGACGATGCAGCACCCGAACCTTGGACGGAAGATGATGTGCTATTTAGCAACGTGACGGACGTTCATGAGGGCGCAGTCAACCTCTCATCATACGATTTGGGGAACCATTTTGATTTATTCAGATATCATCAACAAGGGAGGTATACATTCAGATTTTGCATGAAGGCGTGCTCGAGCGTGGACTACGAGAATTACTCGAATGAGTCGTGCTCAGCGTGTTCAGCTACAGAGAAGTTCGCATGGGATATTGATGATGACGAGCCATCGTGTTTCAACGATTTCACGGCGGAGTGGGAGAATTCATACGATGAATGGGAAACGAAAATGTTGTTTGAAGACATCTCGGCGATGACACTGGCTCTGCTCGCAGGGCTTGCCACTACCCTGATCTTTCTGCTGTCGCGACTGCTTCAAGAGCCTCCAGCAGCGATCGAGGTGACATCCCCCTCCTTCTTCCTCCCTCATTCCATCCTCCCTCATTCCTTCTTTCTGAGAGCCTCCTTCATTCCATCCTCCTCTCCTCCAGCCCAGGGGCACCCGAGTGGGCCCCCTCCCCACCCCCGCCCAGCAGGGGGACCCTCGGGCTTTGGAGCTGAGGTCCTGGGTGCCGCCTGGGCCGGGGTTCTCGAAGTGGCAGTTGATAGCTTCGGGGAGAGGATGTGATGGCAAAGTGCAGCAGCTGAAAAGTCAGATCACTTCGACGCGCGATTCGAGTCGTTGGCGACTCAGATGACCCAGCTTAAGGCTGCATTTGTGCCAGGCTGTCGCGCGCTGCGTCCACTTGGCAGGAACTACTGCGGCCTAGTAGCGATGTTGGATTACAGCCTCTGGGTGCCAGCGTCGCTGGAGTCGGTAGCGCTGGAGTCGGCGGCGCTGCTGCCAGAGTCAATGGTGCTGCTGGAGTCGGTGGTTATGATGGGCTCAGTGGTGCTGCTGGAGTCGGTGGTGCTGGAGTCGGCGGCACTGATGCCGGAGTCGGCAGTGCGGCTGGAGTCAGTGGTGCTGCTAGGGTCGATGGTGCAGCTGGAGGCTGTAGCGCAGGAATCCGTAGCGCTGATTCCGGAGTCCTTCGCGTTGGTTTCGATGGTGTTGCTGGAGACTGTGCTACTGCTGGAGTCGATAGCGCTGCTGCTGGCGTCGGTGGCGCTGCTGCTGTTGGGGTCGGTAGCGCTTCTGCCTGCGTCGGTGGTGCTGCTTCAGTCTGTGGTGCTGCCGGGCTCGGTGGTGTTGCTAAAGTCGGCGGTGCTGCTGGAGTCGGCGTCGCTGATGCCGTAATCGGCGGTGCTGCTGGAGTCGGTGGTGCTGCTGAGGTCGGTGGTGCTGCTGGGATTGGCGGCGCTTCTGCCGGAGTCGCTGGTGCTGTTTGAGTCTGCGGTGCGTCCATCGAATTTGCTAGGACCCGATGTGCTGCTGAAGTTGGACGGTGCTACCAGAGTCAGCGGTGCTACCTTGTACAAGTCACTGTTGTGGCTGTCGTGGCTGTCGTGGTAGCCGCCGTGGTGTGCTTCCTCGTGCAAGTCGCTGTCGTTGCTGTCGTGGTTATCGTGGTAGCCGTCGTGGTAGGCGTCCTCGTAAAAGTTGCTGTGTCGGTAGTCGTGGTCGTCGTGGTTGCCGCCGTAGTGTGCTTGCCCGTGAGGAGTGCTGTTGTGGCTGTCGTGGTGGTGGCCTTGAAGTGCTTGCTCGTGAGGGTCGCTGTCGTGGCTGTCGTCGCTGTCGCGGTGGCCGCCGTGGTGTGCTTGCTCGTAAGACAAAGTAGCCGTGGCTGTTGTGGCTGTCGTGGTGGCCGCCGCGGCGCGCTTGCTTGTAAGAGGTACAATCGTGACTGTTGTGGCTGTTGTGGTGACCGCCGTGGTGTGCTTACTCGTGTGAGTCGTTGTGGTGGCTGTCGTGGTGGCCTTCGTGGCGTGATTGCTCGTAAGAGGTGCTGGCATGGCTGTCGCGGTGGTAGCCGTGGTGTGCTTGCGCGTGGGAGGTGCTGTCGTTGTTGTCGTGGTGGCCGCCGTGGTGTGCTTGCTCGTAAGAGTCGCTGCGTTGGGTGTTGTGGCTGTCGTGGTAGTCGCCGTGGGGTGCTTCCCCGTAAAAGTCGCAGTTGCGGTATTGGTGGTTGCCGTGGTGGCCACCGTGGTACCGTGGTGTGTTTGCGTGTAGGAGTCGTTGTCGTGGTTGTTGTGGCTGTCGTGGGGACCGCCGCGGTGTGTTTGCTTGTAAGAAGTGCTGTCGCGGCTGTAGTGGTAGCCGCCGTGGCGTGCGTCCTCGTAGAAGTCGCAGTTGCAGTATTGGTGGTTGCCGGGCTGGTGTGCTTGCAAGTGACGGGTGCTGCTGTGGCTGTCGTGGAGGACGTGGTGGCCATCGTGGCGTGCTTGCCAGTAAGAGGTGCTGTCGTGGCTGTCGTGGTGGCCACCGTGGTGTGCTTGCGCGTGAGGGGTGCTGCCGTGACTGTCGTAGTGGCCGCCTTGAAGTGCTATCGCGTGGGAGTCGCAGTCGTGGCTGTCGTGGTAGCCGCCGTGGTGCACGTTCACGTAATGAGTCGCAGTTGCGGTATTCGTGGTCGTTGTGGTGGCCGCCGTGGTGTGCTTGCGCGTGAGAGTCTCTGCCGTGGCTGTTGTGGCTGTCGTGGTGGCCGCCGTGGTGTGCTTGCTTGTAAGAGATGCTGCCGTGTCTGTCGTAGTGGCTGCCGTGCTGTGATTGCTTGTGGGGGGTGCTGTCGTGGTGGCCGCCTTGAGCTGCTTGCACGTGAGATGCGATGTCGTGGCTGACGCGGCTGTCGTAGTAGCGGCTGTGATGTTCGTCTTCGAGGGAGTCGTTGTTGTGGTTGTCGCTGCGTTAGCTCCTGTGGCCGTCGTTGTGGCCGTCGTGGTGTGCTTGCACGTAGAACGTGCTGGCGTGGCTGTAGATGTGGCCGCCGTGGTGTGCGTGTCCACTGTGGCGTAGTTGTCGTTGTGCTTGGTGGCTGTCGTGGTGGATGTCGTGGCGCTTGTTGGTTGCCGTAGTGACTGCCGTGGTGTTTGGTGGCAGTCGTGGTGGCTGTCGTTATGCCTGTCTTGGCGGCTGCCGTGGGGTGCTTGCTCGTGAGAGTAGTTGTATGGGGCCCGTGACGGGGGAGGTGCCACCTCCTATGAATGGATGTATGGAGCAGCATGCCCTGAATGGGGCGGTACAAGCCAAATGGGCGCCAGGCTTGGTCAAGTCGGCGGGAGTAGGTGTCAGCGGTCGGTGTGGTTGCTGGTCAGTAGTCGGTGGTCTGATGGTTGGTGCGCTGTAGTGGGTTGTCTGTTGGACGGTGCGTTTATTGCTGGGTGGTTTGCCTGTGGTTTGCTAGTTTGATCTGCCGTGGTGGCTGTCGTGGTGGCTGCCGCGTTGCTGTGGTGGTGGCTGTCGAGGTGGCTGTCGTGGTAGCTGTCGTGGTTGATATCGTGGTGGCTGCCGTAGTGGTTGTCGCGGCAGCTGTAATGGTAGTTTTCGTGGTATATGTTGTAGTAGTTGTCGTGGTTGTTGTCGTGGTGGTTGTCATGTTGCCGCCGTGGTGTGGTTGCTGCCCGGGTGGCTGGCGTGGTGGCTGTCGTCTTGCTGCCGCGGTGGCTGGCGTGGTGGCTGTCGCGTTGCTGTAGTGGTGGCTGTCGTAGTGACTGTCGTGGTAGCTGTCGTCGTAGTTGTCGTGGTGGTTGCCGTGGTGGTTTTCGCGGTATCTGTGCTGGTAGTTGCAGCGGGGGTTGTAGTAGTTGTTGTAGTATGTGTTGCAATGGTTGTCGTGTTGTTGCCGTGGTGGTTGTCGTGGTGGCTGTCGTATTGCCGCCGTGGTGGCAGACAAGTTGGTTGTCGCGTTGCTGTAGTAGTTGTCGTGGTGGCTATCGTGGTAGCTGTAATGGCAGTTGTGATGATGGGTGTCGTTGAGGTTCTTGCGGTAGCTGTCGTGGTAGCTGTCGTCGTGGTTGCAGTGGGAGTTGTCGTCAGTGTTGTCGTGGCTGTTGTCATGGAAGCTGTTTTTGTGGTTGTCGTGGTTGGCTGCTGGTCGATGAGCATGCTGGTTCTGAGAACAAGCGCCGCGCCAATCGTCATCACCATGTTTGAAGTAAGTTGAGAAGCATGTTTGGTATGTGCGTTCTTGTTTCCGTGTACTGCCGATGCCGATGCAAGTGAGTCGTTGTCCCAAATATTTGTTAAGGATGTGTGGGTACGATGGGCTTGCGCTGATAATCCAATCCTATCGGGTGCCTTCACTTTGTCCACTTGATAACGTTTAGCCGCTGTGGAGGGGGAGAGGACTGAGAAGCATGTGAAAAAGCCATCGCAATTATGCGGCCTCTGAAATGTCAGAGTGAGGGGGCCCGAACGGTCATTCACTGTCCCTGGGTGCGTGGCTGAAGTGGGGATCCACGGCGAGGATTCTTGTTGCTGTTTTGTTGTTGTTTTGTTGTTGTTGTTTTGTTGCGTCATCCCCACCCAGACCCGCCCGCGACCCACCCGCGACCCACCCCGCGACCCATCCGCGACCCA